CTTCAAACACCGTGTTGAGGAATGGTGACTATGGCAGCTTCAACACCCTTTTTGAGGAACTGGTGACTACTGGCAGCTTCAACACCGTGTTGAGGAATGGTGACTACTGGCAGCTTCAACACCGTGTTGAGGAACTGGTGATACTGGCAGCTTCCACACCGTGTTGAGGAACTGGGGGCAAATGGCAGCTTCAATACCGTTTTGGGAGGGAAACTGGGGGACTACTGGCAGCTTAAACACCGTGTTGAGGAAATGGTGACTCCCTGGAAAGTTTTCAACACCGTGTTGGGGGAAATGGTGATACTGGCGCTTCATCCCCGGGGTTTTGGGGAAACCCTGGTGACTACTGGCAGCTTCAACCCCGTGTTGGGGAAAATTTTGGGGGATATTTTGGAAGTTTCCCCAAAAACCGTGTTGAGGAACTGGGGGCTATTTGGAAAAGCTTCAACCCCCGTGTTAAAGGAAAATGGTACTACTTTTCAGTTTTCCAACCCCGGTTTTGGGAACTGGTGATACGGGAGTTAAACACCGTGTTGGGGGAAACCCGGGGGGACTACTGGCAGCTTCAACCAGTTTTGAGGAACTGGGGGACTATTTGGCGGGTTTTAAAACACCGTGTTAAAGGAATGGTAAATACTGGAGTTTTCAACACCGTTTTGAGGAACGGGGGAAATACTGTAAAGTTTCCCCCGGGTGTTGGGAAAAGGTGCTACGGGAACCCTTCAACCCCGTGTTGAGGAACTGGTGACTATGGCAGCTTCAATACCGGTTGGGGAAAACCTGGTGATACTGGCAGTTCAACACCGTGTTGGGGGAAAGGGGTGATCTTTTCCTTTTTCATCTTGGGTTTAAAGCACAATAGTTCACTGTTTTTACCCCTTTTTTATTTTGTTAAAATTTCCTCCAAAACCAGTTTTGTGGTGTCGCGGGTTATTACCCTATTTTTCCCGACGGTATACATTTTTGATATATTTGAAGTTTTTCCGAGGTATTTTCTTCTCTCTTAACCCCGGGCCTTGGGGCCCAGGCTAGTTTTGGTTTGCTCCCCCTGGTAACCAGGCTGTTGTGTGGGGGGCCCGCTTTGCCTACATATCCATCACAGCTTGGTTGATCGGGCCACCTGGTGAAATACTTTTCTAGTTTCTCTTAAAAAGGGGTTTTTAAACATTTGGGTTCCCGGCAGTGTTTTTGATTTTTTGGGTTTAAGATTTTGAAAAGTCTGGGATCCGGTTTGGTTGATACGGGTGTTCCCTTTTTTTCCCCCCCCCACGCCCCATGCTCCTCACTGGGTTTTTTTTTTTACATTTTCCTTTCCTTATTCTCACCCCCGTATGTTGTTAGACAGTGTGCAAAATTTGGGACCAAGCCCTCGAGAAACCTTCCAGGTTTTTAATTACCCTGTACCCCCTCTCTCTCTCTCCTCCGCTCCAATGAAAAAACATTTTCAAGATTTGGCGGGGCGTTCCAGTAGTTTAGGTGCTTTACTGGCTCAATGTGAGCCGAAAACGTATCTGTATTTTTTCCCCAGCCCCCGTTTATTTCTCCTGCCCTGAACGGGGCCCCCGTCTGCACTGGGAATTATTCTAAGTGAGAGAGCACTAGCGATTTGAAAAAGGTGCCCAACCATGGGCTTGTTTCCCTTTTTTTGGGAAAGTTTCAATCCCCCCCCCGTAAATCTTCCGGGCCCCGGGTCTTTGGATCTTTTTCTTGTTATGGTCTTTAAAAAAAAGGGTTTCGTGACATAATTATTCCTAGGTTTTTTAAGTGTTCCTTACTTTCCCTTTTTGGTAAACCCTCTTGATTTTTGTATATAGTGTTTATTTTTTGGAGTTTTCTTTTCTTTCCTTTACCAAGCAGAGGGGAACTTATCCCATTAAATGTCATTTTGGTTTTCCACTGCCCCCCGGAAAACCTTGTTTATGTTTTTCCTTTTACTTTTTCGGGTGTCCTCAAACCGTACTGATTTTCCCAAGCTTATTTTAGTGTCTTTCGGGAAAATTTTGTTTAAAAAAATTTGTACCGGGTTTTTTTTGTCTATGTCTGTATGAGGATGGGGGAACGCAGAGGTGCCAGGCAGTGCCTTGGGGCACTGAGCTTTTGACCTGGGTACTATTTTTTTGGGTTTTCTGTGTTGGGGAAACCAAAAATTTCCATGTGCCTCCCTTCCCCCGTAATCCCCCAGGGCCCCTTCATTTTGTGCCCCTATCACCCCTTTTGTTTCGCATTTTTTAAAAAGTTTTTGAAAAAATTTTGTAAACCCAATCTGCGTTTTGGGTTTTCCCCGTTTCCAGTGCCTTTTAAATTTCCCGGTTTAATGGGTAAGCAGCTGTGACAGACATGATCGTCCTGCTTTTAAACCTTGTTTGGTTCGGGTTAGTTGGTTTGGCTGGTCCATGAAATTTGAACCTCCGTTTTCTTCACTCTTTCGAAGTTTTTTATGTGTGAGGGTTAGGGCTAGGGTCTGAAATTTTTTTGGGCTAGTGCTAATTTTCCCTCCCTTTTTGAAAAGGGCTATGTCTGCACCTTTTTAAAGACCCCCGGGTATTTCCCCTTTTTTAAACCTTTTTTCCAAAAAATTTACAGAGGGCTCGTGTGTGGAAATTTGGGAAACTTTTTTTTAAAAAATGAGTTTCCCATGAATCTGGTCCAGGTGGGGAGTAAAGGGGGCCCCTTTGTTCTTATTTTTTTTCGAATTTTTTGGATTTGTATTTAATGTCAGTTAGTCGGTCTTTTGCGCTTCTGCTGGAGTGAAAAATTTTTCCGCGTTTTCTACCTTGCTGTAAATTTTAGTGGGTTGCTGAACACCGGCTTTACTTTCTTTTGGATTTCACTATTTTCCTGGTTTGTGTCAAATATATGAGTTTTCCTCTCGTAGTGGTCCAAATTTTCCCCGGGGTTCTTGCCTTGGAGTTTTTCGTAGGAAATAAAAATATTTTTGGGTTTTTTTGCAAAATCCCCGTATGGCCTTTTGTTTTCCCCTTTTTTAATTCTTTGGAGGGGTTTTCCCTCTAAGTTTTTGCTCTAATTCAGTGATCTCTTGGGTAAAATCTGTCTTTCCCCTGTTGTAGCATGTTTGTGTTTTTTTAAACATTCAGTAAACCCCTTTTCTTCTTTTGTACCATCTTACTCTCTTTTATATATCTGTTTTTCCTAGGGGTTTCCTCAAAGGGGGGGACATGTTTAAAACTTTCTTTGTATGTTCTGATTTTAGCTTTTCTAGGCACTTGGGGGGGGATTTAAAGGGCATCATGTCTGATTCTCAGGGGTATGTCTGTTAAAATCTTGGTTTATTTTTTCCGGAAATTAATTTTAGGGGTTTTTAAAATTAAACTTACTGAAATCCCGTCTCTAACTTTAGCGATGCAGGGTTTCCCACCCCCGAGTTAATCCCAGTTTTTAACCCTTTTATGTTTTTATGAAACAGAAATTTTAAAAATTTTTTGGAAAAAATGTTGTCTTGATCAGTTCCCGGTGTTTGTGGGGAAAATCAAATCCAAGGGGGTTTTTAATTTTCAAATTTGGGTCAAAATTACCTGGGTTTTTTTAAAAAGGGAATTTTCACAAAGGGATCTTAAATTTCCCTAGTATGTACCTGTTTAGGGCCCGGGTTCTTCCCGGGGGGGTATTTTGGTTTTAAAAATTACGGGTTTTGCCAAACTTCCAAATTTTTTTATGAGGGAATTTTAAAAAAACCAAGGAGGGAAAAATTTTTTGGGGTTTGGCTTTTCTGGCCCCACCTGATTGCTTTTAATTTACCCTTTCCTGGGGCTGTGGAATTTTTTCAACATTGCACGATTTTGGGGGTTTGTTTTACTAGGATAAATTTTCCAAATTCCTTTTTTCAACTTCAATGCCTAGGGAAATTTTCTTTTCATTCGCCAGGAAAATTTAGCAATTCTGTTTCTTAAAAAAAAGTTCCTTTTTCTTAGATTCCTAAATCCTCCCCGTGACCTAAATTTTTTTTTGTTACATAAAGATAAAAACTACAACATTTATAGACCCTGTTGTAGTTTTCTATCTGGGGGCTCTCCCTCCAAAAACATCCCTTGTATGTGTTTCTGTAAAAGGGTCCGAACTGGAATTTTGCTTCTTTTCAGGAGCCCATGGCCCTAATTAACTTTTTCAAAATTTTTTTTTGATTTCAAACCTGTATATTTTCCAAAAAATGAAGCAGGAATTACCAAGTGGGATGTTTTGTTCGCTTTCGTTTTTATTTTTACCCCGGTGGTGTAATTCCTGGTATGTCCCCTGGTGTACACTTTTCCCGGGGTTTTTCCCCTTCTGGCTTCGGTTTGTTTGCTTTTTCGGGCCTTGACGGGCTGGGTGCCTTTGGGTTTTGGGTTTAACCCCCCCAATTTTTTTCTGCCCATTTTTTCTGCCCACCCCCGTCCCCTCTGTTTCCATTTTCCCCCGTTTGTTTTCCTTTTTTTCCCATTTTTTTCTCTTCTTTTGCTAAACCCTTTAGCACCACTTTCCTTTTACATGATGGTTGGGGAAAATTAAAGGGCATGGAACCCTTTTTTGGGACTCTGTTGAAGTTTTACAAATTTTTGGATGGAAGTACCCGTGCCCCTCTTTGTTTTAAAAAGACCCTTTCCCCTTTCCCCAACAGTTCGCACTTTTTTGGGGTGTTTATTCCCAAAAATTTTCTGCCATATTGGCACATACCTTTTTGCATAGTAACGGGAAATTGGGGTTTGGGCTACCCCTTTTTTATTTATTTGTGGTCCCTTTCCCAAGTTATTTCCACCCTGGTTGAGTTCCCCCTTTTTCACTTCCTTTTTGGTAATTCTTCCCTTTGCCCCGTTTTCCCTTTGTTCCTGTTCTTGTTTTCTACTCCCCTTTTCCCTTTTTTTCCCCATGTTATGTATCCCTGTTTTTCCCCCTTTTTTCCCACTTGTCTGTATGACGTTTTATTCTTTTTCCTTATTTTCATCCTTGGTTTTTCCCCTCCCGTTTGGGATTTTCCTCCTTTTTTTTGTCCTTTTCCCCTGTTTTCCAATCCCTTTTTATTAAAATTGGGGAAGCTCCTTAGAAAATTCTTTATGCTTTAGGGTTTTCACTTTTCAGTACCTTCTTATGCTTTTAAACCCGCCCGTCCCCTTTACTGGGGGGAAATCCCGAAATGACTTTCTGGTTTTTGGTCATTTTTTTGGGTTTCATGAAG